CAGGCATCAGGCATTCCTTTGGCATTTTTCTTTGTCCCAAGAGGCTGACTTGGTTCCTCTTCAGGTAGCTATGGATAAAGTGTTGCATTTCTTCTGTGTCCTTTCAAACACATTTGTTTTGCCTTTCTCTGAGGTTTTGGATATCTGTCCTCTCACCACTTATTCATTTCTAGGTGTGCTGGTCCTTCCAGCATCACACAAAAATGGGCAGTTCTTTACTGTAAGATGAAGCAGTTGCTTCTTTTTACATGGTCAGACCTGCTGAAGGTAATAGTGCTTGAATTGTTGGTTTGGTTCAAGATGACAGAGCATAAATCTGCTTGAGTAAATGGAAGAGATCTATCTATGTAAAAGGACATAAAGGAGAGAATGTCGAGGAACCGAAAGTATTAGGGCTGTATTATCTGATTTGAGTATCCCTCAAATAAATCTTTTTCTATAATTCAGCAGTTCCAATGTAAAATGTTTCAATTGAGAGTCAACTGGGAACTCTTTTTTTCTTGGTTTCTAAAGTTGAGTGAAGATGGTAGTACATCTTCAGAGAAGAAATCTTGTAAAATTTACGATTGCCAGATAAAATGATTGCACAGGAGTTTGTTAGGATTATGAGGGTTTAAAATGGCTGGCAAAGTTTAAGTGATTTTATGCTCAGAAGTATTTAAACAGACTGACCGCTTCCATTTGCTAGGCTATAATGAGCATCCAGAATTCTGTATGTTTGAAGCAGCTTCTGGCTTTTTCAAAATCATTTTATCTTTCATAAGGAGCACTGTGTATTCTTGGTTCATGGAACAATGTGTTGTGGAGCTTCTTTATTGACCCTAGGAAACATTTGCTGCGGTTGAATTTTTAGACTTACTGTAAATGCATTTATGTAATAAATGTTACAAAATGCTTACTGGGGATGCTCATCATTTTTCTTCTTTATTTACTTCAGAATAGATAAACTACATTTCATTTCAAAAAACCAATTTAATATTGGCTGATGCACAAGAAATTGTTCTTGTGTAATTTTGCATCATATTTCATAGCTGGAATAATTTTTTAGACATCTGAATCTATGCAATAAGGAATTCTGTGCTGCTTTCTTTCAGACTGTCAGAGCAAAGGTCTCTTTAATTTCAAGTGTGTATGTGTTTTATATTTTTCCACAATTATATCTTTTTTCCACCCTTTTCTTTCATTAAGAAATGTTGTTTTGCATGTGGAACTAATTGTACTTATTTATGTTCATCAGTGCTTTGCGAAAGGCTAAGAGTTTGATTTTTATTCAGTAACTGGGTTTTATTCTGAGTGAAATCTCAAGCTTTTTTTCCCCTTTTATAACTACTTTTTAAGCAATATAATCAACTGAGGTATAAAAATGCACTATGCAATGTCATATTTCAGGCAGTCATACTGGATTGAACTGTAATTAATTGCTGTTGCTGAATACACTGTGGTCCTTATTCTCTTTTCATACCCTAGTTTTTCTTTGTATGTAATAATTCCATCCAGGAAGAAATCTAATTACTAAGATAATTAACACCTTATCACCAAATGGGAGTTCAGACATTTGTAGAGTTTATGAATTTTTAAAATATGTAATTTCCTTTTAACTGAATGACAACTGGTGTTATAGAGAAAAGAGCATATTGTATTGTATCTAGCTTGATTGGACCTTATAATTCATGTTGCTATAGAAACAACCAAACCTTTATAAAAGATGGTATTACTACTACCATTGGTAATAAATGCTTTGACTGTTGCCAATAGTGTCATTAAAATGGTTAAAATAACTTCATTTTAATGGTTTTGTCAAATGTAATGAATGTTCTGTTCATATTCTGAGAAATGGCAGCTGATGTTACGTGATACTGATTTATAATGTACTTTTTCTTCCATAAGCTTACTATTACCACATAATATATTTGTGATGTGAACAAAATCATGTTGCAGAATATAGTGCTCCTCTGTTCACTCAGTCCTTAAAGCTAACAAATTTTATTGTTACGTGATATCAAGCAGAACTTTGTATCTTGCAGTTTGTCAGTCTTAAGAAAGCAGTGGTAATTGAGACTGTTTAGCCAGCAGCTCTGGGGATTTTTGCTGTTCTGTGCGCTATTCAGCTTGTGTTTCCCACTTACGACTGCTGGACCAAGTCCTTGAAAATGTTCAGTTTTATGTTGGTTTTGATTTGGCGTTCAAATGCCATGTTTTAACTTCATCTCAAGTGATGGAGTCTGAATTCATGAACTCAAAAAGGAGTTGAAAGAATTTCAGAAACATACAAAAAAAAAAAAAAAAAAGAGGCCAAGACATTTGCTTTACTTAAATAAAAAGGTGTGGGGGGGTTAAGTTAAAAAAAAAAGTCCCAAAATATGTTTACTACCATATACTGTTTGTATGAAGGCCACTGTGGTCAATATAAGCGATGCATGCTGTAATGTTGCACCTAATCAAATTGCTAAAAGCAATATTCTCTGCTTCCACTTTCTTGGGTCTTTAGCCAACAGATTCTCCTCGTCCAGTAGAACTCGTTGTTGCAGGAAGTTTTTCTTTCAGCTATTCAGAGTATTCAAACTCTTCACACACTTTAGCCACAACATTAATTTTTATGTGGTGATATACTGTCTAATAAGAAAACGGCCATTCAAATGCTTTTTTGGATTACATGCAAATTCATTATGTTGCATTCACAGTTCTGCTGTCTTTTGTCCTGATGAAGGGAAGAGAAGCCTTACAGCCATCTCCTTAGAGAAACACCTTCTTAAGCTCAGATGTTGAGCTTTGCTTGTGGCAGTAGTCTTTATGCTATTCACCCCTAAAAGAAGCTGTCTCAGTTGTTCCCTTGCCTGTAGCCTATTTAAGATGTGTAGAGTTATTTAGGTTGGAAAGGACCTCTTGAAGTCATCTCATCTATTCCCCTCATTTGAAACAGGGCCAGCTTGAAATCAGATACCACCAATATCTTTATAGGGTTCTTTTCCTCATAAATCATATTTTCTCCAGTTCATCAGTCTTACTGATAGTGTAGAAACAGTCTTATCTGTATCAGTAGGGAGCACTGAGCACTTCTGAGCACTATATATTTTTGCCTCTCTGCAGAAGAGGTTTATCACTATTCCCACTTTACACAAGCATGATGAATACCAAACAGTGCAGTGGTTTCACAGTCTTTCATAGGGCAGTGGTCATCCAGCTGGTAGGTGTCAGATTTAGAAACTGGAGGTTTTATCTCCTGGATCCTGCAGAGTGCTCTGTAAATACTGTGCAGTAATCTTGTAGGACTCATTTTTCTGAGCTGTATCGCAGAATCACAGAAGGGTTGAGGTTGGAAGGGAGCTATAGAGGCCATTTTGTCCAAACCCCCCTGTTCAAGCAGGGTCACTTAGAGCCTATTGCTGTCTGTATCCAGACAGCTTTTGAATATCTCCAAGGAGAAGGACTCTACAGTCCCTGGGCAACCTGTGCCAGTGCTCTGTCACCCTCAGTAAAAAAGTGTTTCCTGACACACGGAGCACAACACCTGAGCCCCTATGCCCTTGAATACTGTCCCCCCAGGAGCTCTGTTGTCACTTTTAATACTGTCCATGTTTCCACTTGCGGTATCCTTTGTGCGCACATGAAATAACAACAGAGAGTAGCAGTCAGAGGGCCAGATAAACCCCACAGCATCCTGGACCCTGGCAGACAGCAAACTTCTCTAGATGATTGGGTGGGTTGACAGATGGGTGCCTGTGTCCTCCTGCAGCAGGGACTCACCCATTACAATGACTTGCTACTTCTTCCTGGTAATCTTGTATGGTTTGGGGGTTGGGTAGACCAGATATTTTGCTTGTCAGCACATGTGTCCTTTTCAACCTTGAGGGCAGTAGGTGGGGCAGATTCTTCCTTTCAGTGTCAGAATTCACCAGCTTCCATCATTCCCTTTCTCCAGAGGTTTTACTTCCATTGGTAGTTGGGGTTGACAATACTTGCTTCTCTACAGCAGATGGGAGATGAGGTTCTTCAAGATGTAGAGTTGCAGAGAACATCCTGTTTATCTCCCTTTCATCTTCTCTCACACTTCACAGCCTGCTGACTTCCTACATAACTCCAAGACAACACAGCTCCTGCAGGACAAAGGGCCATCTCTCCTGGCATCAGAGAGAGCCCCCAGGGACTCCCTGCAGCCCGAGACACTTGCAGGGCTGCATGCACTGTCCAAAGCTCAGTCTAGGTGCAAGCCTTGACCCTAGCACAAACAGCTATTCCAACATTTACCAGGGAAAATAATCAGTGGCATATAACCACTATGTCTAAGATTTATACTATAGTGTGATCTCAACTGAGGCCCTCTTACTTCATCCTTTTCTGTGCGTCCTGCTGTATCTGTTGGCTGTATCTGCTAGCCAGGCTCTCTAAAGATGCATATTCAGTCCAAGTGGAACAGTTAGGAAACGTTGACCTTGCTAAATAACAGGAAAGCTTAGTGCCTGTGCATTTGTAAACTTAAGTATTTTGCTTTCCTTTTAAAGCAAGGCATAGGCTGATTTTATGGAGTACTGAGTTAGAAATTAACTTGGGACTAAGAGATGTCTTACTGGTTTCAAAGACAATTTTGTTCAAAATTGCTACGTTATATTGCATGCCAGTCCCTGCTTTTGGAATTCCTGTCCTACTTTGATAGCAGCATTATAAAACATCAGGTAGTTTACAAATTCTAGTGGGTAAGTAAGTCGCAAAAGTCATAAATTTTGTGGGTTAAGCAGTCAGAATCTGAGAAACTTACAAGCTCTGGTGAACACCTATAATTTCAAATGAAGGAGGAGTTAGTCCAGATGTTTTCTTCTTTCTGTCACACTCCTAATCCAATATTTGCTGTAATATCTTTCTTCTTCGTGCTCTTGGCCAAGTACCAAATGGTCTCAATTTCTGTAGATCAACTTGAAGAGTTGTAAGTCTATGTATGCTGGCTTTTAAGGGAGCAAAACTTTTACATGTCCTTAATTCAGTGTTCTTTTTTACTTTCTTTACAGAGTGCCTGGAATAACAATTGCTACAGATATCATCTGTGGTTTTCCAGGAGAGACTGATGAAGATTTTCAAGAAACAGTGAAACTTGTAGAACAGTACAGATTTCCAAGCTTGTTTATTAATCAATTTTACCCACGCCCCGGAACCCCAGCTGCAAAAATGCATCAAGTGCCAGCTGCAGTGGTAAGATCCGTTTTCTTGTGCCACTGTACATGGTGTACTCAGATGTCTTTACGTGCATAAAACATATATCTGAAAATGTAGATTTTTTTTTTTTTTGCAGAACTGTGCTACAATTCAGTTAATTTTTTTTTTTTTTTAGTCCAATGAGTAAAATTATTGAATTGCCTTTAGAGGTTCGCTAGATCACTGAATGCATTTTCGTATATAAATTACTCTTCAGATTGTTAGGGAAGGTAAAATAGTGATTATACTGAAGTCATGTCTTCTTTCTATCAAATTTCAGCTGAATGAGTACCAGGAGAGGTATCTAATTGATTTTGCATGGGTTTTTTTTCCATTGTAAGACCTTTGAGACTCCAGCAGTCTCAAGCTTATTGTGAATAATTATGCAAAATATTAATAATATAGGAATGATAATTTCTGATTTATTTGTCTAATATCAAAGTTGAAGGCAAATTCTTCTCAAGACTGTCTTTATACACTGCTTATAAGCTCTGCTTCCTTCAGCCTGTGTTGAAGGCCATTGATAAAATTGGCATTAATCTTTCAGGTTTTAGGTGTTTTCCTTCTTTCTTGCTATTTTTGAGTGAGAAATGTAACTCTTCCTGACATTCTTGTATCAAATTCTCATAAGGAAAACAGCCTGTTTTAATATAGAAGGGAGATGGCTATTTGGTGCATTTTACTTGATATAAATAGCTGTTTATAAGCAATAATAACAGCAATCACGTCTGAAGGCAAGTTTTGATCTATTTTAAAAAAAATTGAATTTGTATTTTTTGTAATCTGAATCTCAAAACAAGAAAGCATACAAGACTGATGGCTGTACAATAATTCAACTTGTTATTTCATTATTATGGGCATAAATAGCATTTATAGTTCCTTTCACTGTAAGAATGAAAGTCAGCCAACAATGTAAATCAGTTTAAACAAAAAACCTTTTCTTTCAATTTATGTATCCTGCTACACCACTATGAAATCAAAACTACTTATCAGTAATTCTGTCCCTTCACATATACATCTGAAAGCAAAAGTATTTCTGCCTACTCTCAGTATATACCACAAATTGCATAGGATGTGTCAGCTGCTGAAGACATAAAATGCGATTATATTTGGCTCTTTGAATTTATTGTTTAGAGCTTTTACAATGACTGCTCATTTTTTGTAGGCTATCTCATAATGGGAAATACTGAGTTTTCAAATATAAATAGCTGATGTTGAAATAGTCTGCTTACTGTAACCAACTCACACTCTTGAATTATTTTTATTAGTTTTGAATGTATTTTAAAAATTTGAAAGTGAAAAAATACCAGTGTCATTTTTGGAAGTTAGGAAGCTTAAAAATCAAAATACTGATTTATGTCTCTGTTTTGTTTATATTCTTTCATCCACATGTACGCATGCTTATTTCACAGGAGGTGCAAAGACTAAGTTAATTTATCCTCTTCTGTTTAACTGGGTGCCATGGGAAGCCAATATGTGAAGACCTAAATTATTAAAAGAACATTAGCTGTTCTGTGGTTAAGAATGTTACTTGGAAAATGGTAATGTCATTTTAACCCAGTTTTACATTCTTTCTTTTTATTTGTAGAGCTAGTGCTTATTGCTTTCAGTTAATTAGAACTTTCAAAGAAGATGAGGCGTCTAATCCAGTGCTGATGAAAATCTGTAATTAATAGATTTTGTTTCTCTCTTTTCTCCCACCTCCTGCCTCTCCCCGTAGTTCTTAAAAAATCCCTTGTTATGAGATCCTTTTTTTCTTTTCTCTCTGGAGAGTAACTAGTCAAACAGAGCAAGAAGAGCTTGTGCTAATCTCTTATGTTTTATATTCACATTACTGCTAGAACCTGGTGGTCTTTCCAACAACATCAAGAATGGACAGGCATTTAACTTGTCCTTCCTTGCCTAGTGTAACATATATGATTCTTTGCTAGAAGGAAGTAGCACGTTGCCATCCATGTTATGCACTCTTACCGTGTCATCCTTTAATAAAATATTATTTGTCATCTTACTGTTAATGAATTTAATTCATTGCATTAGCATAGGGAGAGAAATAGCACATGAAGTGACATACAACTGTTACGTGCATCTGTACATGTGATACATTGTATTACCAGCCTGAACTTGTGAACTAATTTTTTTTTACAGGATGCTCATAACATAATCCTTTGTAGTGGGTCTGGCGATAGAATCTTGTTCTATGAAAATAATTTTGTCTGTATTATTTAACTGCAAATTGTGAACCAGTAAGCAGATTATTTAACAATTGTTATTCTTGTCTTTAGAAAAAAAATGTTGGGTCTATGTATGATGTTATTTTAGCTTTGCGTTACTTCTGCAATGGACAGATCTATAGCTATTTGCGAACTGCTCCACGTTACTGAGTTCCACTTCTCCAAGACAGCTCCAGTGATTCTGCCAGAGTATCACAGCTGCAACAATACATTTGCCTTGTTGATTTCTTTTAAGTTAGCTCGTTTTAGGAAGACCTTATGACTTTTAGGGACTGTCTGTAGAGCATTAAACATAGCAACATTTGGTGCTTTCAAATTTTTAGTGGATAGTTTTGATGGAAGTTGTAAATATAATTCTCTTTTTGGGGAAAACCCTCATCTGAGTTTGTCTTAGTAGAAAAAAAAAACCAAATGAACAGTAGGTCGACATAGAATCTTCACATAGATAATTTATCTTTGAAAACCTTACAGGCACTGATTTTTTTTCTAAAAGGGCAAATGACACTAATCCAGATGGACAGTTCTGCCACCATAAATTCAGAAAAAACAGTTAAGGCTGCAGGCTTTTCTTGTTTCTCCTGGAGAAAAAAATGTCCATGGAGAATCAGACATCTGTCTAAATGGTCTTATCATTTCATAACCATCAGTTAGGTTATGCTTACCATAAATGTTGTGTCCAGTTCAGAGAAAAGAGCACAGTTAAGCAAAATGAGGCATGATTTTTTGTTGTTGTTTCAGGGTGTTTTAATAAGCAATTGCAATGATGCTGAGTCATATACATGAGAGTCAACATATTGTTCAGAACTTAAATGCTACTTTTCTTGGCTTTTACCCCTATTTTATCCACCTACTGCTAAATACATTGTTTCAGAAATTATTCTGGGTACTCATTATCTCCAGTAGGCTATCTGTAGAAAATTCTCACTCTAAAGTGTGTTAACTATGAAATGCTATTTTGTAGATTGTTGTTATCATCAGCAGCACTATCATCATCATTTTGGAGCTGAATTTCTCTGTTTCCCTATTGCATTCAGTTGTAAAAGTGGTAGTGCTGGTATTTGCATAACTCAAATTACAGACTAAAGAGATACATATTTTAATAAGCAGTGTAAGAACATGATTTAGATGTGATTAGTACGGATTTTATGTTTAGCTGCATTGCAAATTATCAGAATGCTTTAATTCTAAGTGTAAAAATGAATCTTTTTCTCTAAAATTAAGGATCCGTAATACCTTATGTTCTTGATAATTTTTATTTCCCTGTTCTTTATTTTTTCAAGGCAACTATTGATTGTCTGGGAACTCTCTGTCCTTGAGATTTGGTCCATTAGAATTTGTGAAAGCATTAGGTTTCATGATTATCTCAGAATCAGCTGGATTTCCATCATGTGGAAATAACATGAAGAAATAGCCATTTAAAAAATAGGGATCTTGATAAAGTACAATTGGGTTCATCTCTACTGAGAATAGGAGATGGCAGCTGTTTTGAGGGCAGTAATGTGAATGCAGCTTCATGATTATGCTACCTTTAACTGCAGTGAGGATTCTAACGCTTCTGTATGTATTTTCAATAGTGTAATTAATCCAGTTTCAATTATTGGTGTAATTACAGTATTTTTTTAAAAACATTGTGATGCCTAGAGAAAAGATTCATTTCCTCTTACTATCTCTTTCCTTCTCTCTTTCTGTTTGTCATCAAATAATTACCTTGCTCCCAGACAGAAAATGTTATGTCAGTCAGCTACTGAACCTTTCCTTTAATTCCACTGAAGTGTGTCTCCTTGAATTTTTCTCTCTGTATTAGTTGTATTAAGCACCCTGCTTACTATACTGAGGTGAATAACAACTACTGTTTGATCTCAAAAATAATTTGCTTCAGGAATAGGAGTAGGTACAGGGTATTTTTTTTTACGGTGTATAGTGGGGAGTTCCTAAAGTCTTTCAGTACAAGAAGGGAACGGTGGGCATGCCATGACCATGGTGGACAAAGATGTGAGACCTTGTCTTACATCTGAAAGTGCCTACCCAATCTCCAAAAGCTCAGTTTTCAGCAGCCTTCATCGCAAGCAGTATTTGCCTCTCTGCCATCTGTCCATGCCCAAACAAGGTGTCGAGACAAAACTGCTCAATCTAAAACCTCATCTATTTACATCCGGGCACTTGTCTGTTAAATATACCCATTGTTACAAGAGAAAAAATAAAATAAATTCCATGATCAGACATTGTATCCTCCTCCATGTACTCTAACCATAACTTAGATCTGTCACTATATTTACCAATTGTAGAAGCCATACATAATGTGCTTAGAGTCTTTTCTTTCTATTAGGATAGCATATGCACTTTCTTGGTGTTGTCTACCAGACAAGTTGTATTTGACCAATTCTGTGGGAGCAAACCAACCATCTTGTATTTTATGCCTTTATGATGGCTATTTATTTTTCTGAGGCTGCTTTGCTTTTGCTTCCTTCTAAGAGGTCTCCAGGAAGTTTCCTGACACCCTTTCATGTATGAGTGGCTGCAGATCCCCCATATCCATCTTAACCAGTTACAATTCTACAAGCACTAGAAATAGGTATTCTTGGGTACCAGCAGATATAGTATGATGTTTAGTTCCTCCTCTTGTAGGTGGCTATAGGTTTTGTAGTTCTGAATCTCCACACACAAACAGCTCAGTCTTCATTGGTAACTCATATGCTTTTACCTATTCAAAATAAATAATTACCTGTGTGTCACTAAACCATCCTTGGCTGACAATATTATCCTGTC